ATTTTTGGGGTTGGCATTCAATGGTAAATTTGAGCTTATTTTTTTTCTGACTGGATACCCATGCTATGTCTTCATGGTCTTTGCTGGTTTTGGAAGTTATTTTGACATGGTGGTGCAGCTGTGCTTTGTCTCCCTCTGGGGATGTAGTTCTTCTAAATCCAATTGGAATTACTTCTGATGAAGAAACCTCCATTTTGGATTATCACTCAATTGTCTTGTGACATTTGTATTTCTGAGTGGCTTTTAGATGAAATTTCTCAATGAACTGTTTGGATTGGGTGCTTACCATTCCAGAAGTCTGCTACAACTGCAAGGCTTGTCTCATGAAGTATGTTGAGTATCATTGCTGCTTGGTGTGTTTCTTGTGCCCTCCAAGCCTCTTTGCTAATTATTTCATATTTTTACATTTCCATTTAATCTTAAAATTTTTTTTACATATATATCAATCATATTTTCTAAACCATTTGGTGAGATTTCTATTTTGGACATCTCAAACTTTTATTAGTCAACCCCATTTGTGTAGCTAGCTAGCATTGTGTAAACTTCAGACGCTGTATGGGAATCAGAATTTTAAGTAATTCTGTGCTCTGTTTCTCATTTTCATTTCTTTTGAGTTGAGTTAAGTTTTATCTTGGTAAGGAAGTAGGAGCAACCTCATATCTTGGACTTCATATCTTCCTGTAACTGTTGTGTAAAGTCCAGGAAGTTGGGTTAATTTTTGTTTTGTTTTGAGGTCAGGCTTTGTTATGCTGCCTTTGAGAAACATTTGGTTAATTTCCTTTTCTAAGATTAGAACAGAGCTTGAGTAATCTTTCCTGGTGTGTAAGTTGGTCATTTTTCATTTTTCTGTGCTCCTAAGTTAGTTCTTTGACAATAGAGAATCCTGGTGTGAAATGGCTCCTCAATTCCTTTTGTTGAATCTGGCCACATTTCCTCAAGGTAGGAGTGCCTTTCTAAGGCATTTCTTTCAAATTGTGATTGATTTGGGGGAGGACAAGTGTTCAGGAAATAGGGAGGGGAAAACCCTGAGCATCAATGGCCTTATTCATTTTGGGGAAGTTTCATTCTCTGCCAACTGAAATGCATTGTGATGGAAGCTAGAATTGTTGAGGAATGTTGGAGAATTTCTGTAAGTTCCTGATTTCACAGTTCATTCCAGAAAGTGAATCCTGGCTCCTCTTGGGTCTTTCTCCCTGGAAACCTTGCCTGTTCTGTAGTGGTGGTTATCACTTTGTATCAGGGATTAACAGAAGGGTCTTCATTGGTATTTCATCTGAAGATCTACTCTAGGTTTTGTTTTTTGTGCTCTGAAGACTTTCTTTGTGGTTAATCGATCTTTAATTTTATATACATTTTTCCATCAGAGATGAAATTTTATCACATTTCTTGAAAGGAACTTATTTTTCAAAAAAGAGACTTTCTTTTGGTTTCAGATTTTCTGAGACTTACTTGGGCGTTGGCATTCAATGCTAAATTTGGACTTTTTTTTCCTGACTGGTTACCCATGACATGTCCTTATGGTGTTTGTTGGTTTTGGAAGTCATTTTGACATGGTGGTGCAGCTCCTCATTGTCTGCCTCTGGGAATATAGTTCTTTGAAATCTAGTTGGAATTATTTCTTATGGAGAAACATCTATTTTGGATTATCATTTGATTCTCTCCTGATATTAGTATTTTTGAATGACTTTTGGATCATGATTCCAAATGAACTCCTGGGATTGGTTACCCACCATTTCAGAACTCTGCTACAACTGTAAGGTTTGTCCCTTTAGTTATGGTAAGTATAATTGCTGTTTGTTTTGTTACTTGTGCCCTCCATGTCTCATTGCCAATTCTTTTTCCCATTTTTACTTTTCCATTTAATCTTTGAATTTTGTTTACATATATTCATCATATTTTCTAGTATATTTGTTCACAATTCTACTTCAGAAGTCCCAAGCTTTTCTGGGTAGACTCTATTTGTGTAGCTAGCTAGCACTGTGAAAATTTCATTTTGTCTAAAGCAATCAGAATTTGGAAGTGATCTGTGCTACATTTGTGGGTTTTCATTTCTTATGGGTTGAGTTAAGTTTTATCTTATAAAGGAGGTATGAGCAATCTAATATCTTAGACTTTGTATTTTCCTGTAACTGTCTTGTAAAGGACAGGAAGTTGGATTAATTTTTGTATTGTTTTAAGTCCAGGTTTTTTTATGCTGCCTTTGGTAAAAGTTTGGTTAATTTCATTTTCATAGTGTAAAGCCAAACTTGAGTTGTGTTTCATGGTGTGTAAGTGGGTCATTCTTCATTTTTCCATTCTACTAATTTAGGTCTTTGACAATAGAGAATTATGGTGTAAAATGGATGCTCAACTCCTTGGAGTTGAGCCTTGCCATATTTCCTCAAGGTTACAAAGCCTTTCTAAGACATTTCCTTCAAATTGTGATTGATTTGGGGGAGGACAAGAGAATTATAAATAGGAAGGGGGAAAGCCTGAGCATCAATGACCTTGTTTCTTTTGGGGAAGTTTCCTTCTCTGACAACTGATATGCATTGTGCTCAAAGCTAGCATTTTTGATGAATGTTGGGCAATTTTTTTAACTTCCTGATCTCACTGTTCATTTCATAAAGTGATTTGTGGATCATCTTGGTACATTTTCCAGTGATACCTTTTTTGTTTTCTAGTGGTGATTATGCTTATCCACCAATGATTCTGGGAATGTTTGTCATTGGTATTTCATCTGGAAATCTAATGTGATGTCTAGTTTGTTTGTTTGTCTGTTTGTTTTTTGGTATACATAAGTTATTTCTAAACGCAATTTCTAAACTGCCAGTCTTGTACTTTAATTTATGGTAGGTATGATTTCTTGCAAATGTATTTTTGATTCCTTCAATATATTCTTGAAAATTAGTTGCCGTTCAGAATTCACTAATTTTACACTTTAGATTTGGACTCATCTGCATCCTTTTGTTGAACTTTCAATCTGAATCATTTTAGAAATTGCCACAAATCTCTGAGTATAACATATTGTCTAAGGATAGATAGAATAAAGGGAAAAAAATGAGACTCCAAGGGCCAGAGAGTTTATTAAGAAATCTGTACCATTTGTGTCTTTGTAATTACAAATGTTTGTTTCATTTTCATATTTTAATTTAGTTATGAAAATCCTAAATGTTTGGAATTTTTTCCATTAACTGCCCTGAAATATGCAGGAATCAATGAATGTTTTGTTTTGAGGTAATGTTTTTCCCATGGTTCCTTTAGTAAATGATCTGATAATTTACTTTTTTTTTGGAAGACAGTTTAAGAATTTTCTGCCACATTCTTAGGTGCCTTTTCATCTTTTTTCATATCCTAGGAAATTGGTTTTTGTTAAATAGATATTTTTTTCTGCCACATTTATCCCAATTATCTTGAAATGTATGGGTACCCTATTTTTTCATGCACTTTTATCAATCCTGTCAATTTGGTGAAAGTGCTCATCACCTTATTTACCATTATTTACTTTTAGTATTTTATTCTCTCTTGATTAATATGAATTATTATCAAAGAGAATATTTTTCAAATTTAAGGGGGGGGTCTCTTTATATGTTATAACCCTGGGATGTTATTTCTCATTGAAAGCTCTTTCATTAGTCACTTTCAGAATACCTTGTTGCTTCATATATAGAATCCTTCCTTCTGCAGTGTTAATTATCCCTTTCTATCAACAATTTCTACTAGTGTTTTTTTTTACATTTCACTGAGAAATCCATTGACTTTTTTTTCTCAGAAATCACCCCAGTAGAAAAGAACTTAATAATACTTTTAAAAAATATAAATGCTTGAATGTAAGGAAGCTTTTCAAACATCACTTCCCTCTTCAATCTCTCACTCTGTTTCTGTATTTTTTCCTCTCTTTATTTTTCTTTCTCTCTCTTTCTCTCATTTTATCATAAAACAGAAAGTCTCTAACATTTCTTGTCCTCAAACATCTTTTTCAAACTTTTCCTCACTATCACATAATACATTATCCATACCATGTAAATGGAGTTGAATATTAAAATCTCTTTAAAATTCCACAAGAATAAGTAGTGATATAATCAGCTGTTCTGCCTATGTCTGTTGCACACAAGAGTTTAACTGTATTAGACCTGCACTGATTTTTCACATGCATTTTATACCAGAAGATCAAACTGATCAGATTTTTTTGAACATTACTAAGATGGATTGAATCTTATCCCTGGCAGTTTTAAACAGCTTTATGCAGGTAACATTTGACTATGAGAAATATTTGGAAAAAACCTCCTCAACTTGAATCCATTAAAAAAAAAAGATGTTACTTCAGGGACGCATATCTCTGAGTTTAAGAAGATCAGCTGAACAATCTGTGGACTCTGGTCATGGACAAAAACACATAGATGCTTTCAGGCAGTAGACAGCTAAATCCAAGAAAATAAACTAAGGAACCTGTTAACTCTACATTAAAATTTATTCAATTTTTTCTCCCTTTGATAATGATATTCTGTTTTTTTGTCAAATCTTCTAGATTTGTTTTTAATTCATTTTATAAATTGTTAAGACATTTCAATCTTACATAGAGGATTTGTTCCAAATGAACTCTATTTTGTTTTTCCTATTTCTACGCAGATTTTCTCAATTACAATGGAAAGATTTCATTGATTGATGGTTGCTACTTAGTTGCTAATAACATTTTCTAAGTTTTATAACATGTGCAAACTTTTTTTGTTTGTTTCATTATATGTGTAAACTTTAGAACAAAACATTAATTTTCCTGTACAAACAACTGATTTATCTATTTTTTCCAATGTCACAGAGCAATATCTTCAAAAATAAAATTACACAGTTATCTTTGAACACAAAAATGACATTTTCACAGCAGTATTCAACATTTTGCTGTTTATGGACACTGCATGGAATCCAGAAACCACTGCAATATTGATTTTTTCAGTGTGTTCTTTCTTTTTAGAGTTTGTTTTAAAAATAATTTCTATAAAAGGAGCACTTCAAAGGCCTAGTGACAGTCACCCTTATTGGACCCAATAAGTAATTCATTTTTTTTCTTTTCTCATGGTGTAACAAAGCATAGAACAAAGATACAACCTTTTTGTATCTCCTGTACCTAATGACATACATTTATCTTAATTACCATGCATTTTTTTTTATTGGACTGGATGAGCAGTCTTCATTTTTTCTTTAACTTGGGTATAACACAAACATTGCTATTCACCGTGTGAATGAGATATACTGAATGTCATCAGCTTCTGGTGAAATATGTAACAATCTGAGTGAGTAAGCTACAATTTTCTTGTTTTTGTGTTCTATGCTATGTTTCTGGCCTTTTCCAGGTAAAGTACTCCAACAAGGGTTTGCAGAAAAAAATACAGTCATGAAAATAAGCTAGACAGAGCCAGATACCATATCGATTGAAAAGGGTCAACTGAAACTGGAAGGAACTAAGGAAAGTTGAATCTAAATTGCAGCACTGTGAGAGAAGGAATCATGTTTGGAAGAATCCTACAAGTTGTTGGAAGGAATCATTACCATGGGAATACTCAGGCAGGTGGGACTGCAGACAGCTTTGACCCAGAATTGAACCCATCATTTTAATTAAGGAAAAACAGTACACTTAAGTCTGTCCTTAATCCTCTTTCCTCAGAATCTCAGAAAATAGCCATGAAGAAACTAGGAGAAAGTGAGTGAACAGAAGATTAAAGGAGCATCAGACAGTGAGCAGCACGTTGGTAGAAATTCAGATACCATCTTCCCCTCAACAAAATTATACTTGGGACTCTGGAAGAATGTATTGTGATGAATATTGTAAGAAAAATACCCTAACTGCCAGAATCATATAAATCAGACCTTGTTGCTATAGATGTAATATGGTTTATAGGAGACATGAACTAGGAAGAAATTAGATGCCCAAGTTCCAAAACCCTGAAAGGAGGGCTGAATGGACTCCCTGGACCATCTACCTTTGGAACTTACCATACTGTGCACACTGAATCAATATTCTAAAATTCATCTTTGGCAAGAATTGCATGCCCTGAATACAAGCCATTCCCCAGTTGATCAATAGTCAAAGGATATGAACAGGCTGTTTTCAGATGAAGAAATCAAAGATATCTATAGGCATAGAAAGAAGTGCTCTAAATCTTTTGATTTGAGATATGCAAAGTAAAGTAACTCTGAAATACCACCTCAGACCAAACAGAGTGTCTAATATGACAAAAAAGGTGAATGATAAATGATAAAGAAACAACAGATAAATCCTAAATAATGAGGAGCAGGAAGGTGACCCAGATGGTCCCAGGTAAAAAGGATTCAATATTTATGATTTTCACTGAGGTCTTGACTCAAAGTTTGTTCACTGTGTATTCAACAGAAATAAAATGTTAAGTCACATCTGACTGGCAGGATTCATGGGGTTCTATGGTGCTGATAAGTAATGTAAATTTGCATTCATGTGCTTCTGGTTGTTTCTTTTTCTGCAAGCCTCTGACCTCCGAACTTGAACAGGCAAACATGAGTTTTTTCACTCTTTTTTGGGTGGCTGTAAATTTGTGACCTATGCTTCTGTTTGGTCTTTTTTCTTTTTTTGTCAGCAAATGTTAGCACTGTGTGTAGTCAACAGGTTAAGATTGTAATTGCAGGCTTTCTTGGTTGAATTACTACCTCTTTTGCCCTCCAGAATATTATATTCCATGACCTCCAGTCCCTTAATGTAGAAGCTGCTAAATCTTGTGTTATCCTGATTGTGTTTCCACAGTATTTGAATTGTTTCTTTTTAGCTGTTTGCAATATTTTCCCCTTGAAATGGGAACTCTGGAATTTGGCTACAATATTCCTAGGAGTCTTCCTTTGGGGATCTCTTTCAGGAGCGGATCAGTGGATTCTTTCAATTTCTATTTTGCCCTCTGGTTCTAAAATATCAAGGCAGTTTACCTTAATTTCTTGAAAGATGATGTCTAGGTTTTTTTTTTGATCATGGTTTTCAGATAGTGCAATAATTTTTCAATTCTCTCTCCTGGATCTATTTTCCAAGTCAGTTGTTTTTCCAGTGAGATATTTCACATTGTTTTCTAATTTTTCATTCTTTTGGATTTGTTTTATAGTGTCTTGATTTCTCATAAAGTCACTAGCTTCCAATTGCTCCACTCTAATTTTTAAGGAAGTATTTCCTCAGTAATGTTTTGGACTTCCTTTTCCATTTGTCCAATTTTGTTTATTGGGCATTCTTCTCCTCATTGGCTTTTTGGACCTCATTTGCCATTTGGGTTAGGCTATTTTTTAAGGTGTTATTTTCTTCGGTATTTTTTTGGGTCTCCTTTAGCAAGCTGTTGACTTGTTTTTCATGATTTTCTTGCATCACTCTCATTTCTCTTCCCAGTTTTTCCTCTACTTCTCTTGCTTCTCAAAATCCCTTCTGAGCTTTTCCAAGGCTTGCGACTGATTCATATTTTTCTTGGAGGCTTTGGATGTAGGAGCTTTGACTTTGTTGTCTTCTTCTGGTTGTATGTTTTGATCTTCTTTGTCACCAAAGTAAGATAATATAGTCTGACTCTTTTTGCGCTGCTCACTCACGATCCCAGCCAATTACTTGAGTTTTAACCTCATTGTTAAAGTAAGGGTATGCTTCCAATTTGGAGAATATAATGTCCCAAGCTTTGGGGGTTTATACAGCTGTTTTCAGAGATGGTTCTCGGAACCTGTAAATTTTCAGTTCATCCAAGGTGGCATGATAAGGGGTGAGGTGTTTCCTCTCCACAGCCACAACAAACTCCACCATGCGAGCACTCCTCCTAGCCCCAGTACCCCTCCTCAGAACTGTGACCCAGATCCAAGCATGGGAAGAGCAAGAGATTCCTGCCTCAGCACTGGCAAAAAGATCCCTACAATCACCTTCTGATCAGCCACTCAATTCCCCCTCAGTCTGTGGGCTGGAGGCTCAGGAAGCAGCCACTGCCCCAGAGGCCCGGCTTGGGACTTGCAACTGAGACCTAGCTTCTTCTCTCACTGCAGTCACTTACTTTCCCACTGACCTTCTAAGTTGTCTTTGGCATTCATGGGTTGAGAAGTCTGGAAACCACCATAGCTGCCCAGGATTCAGTCCTCTGAGGCCTGCTCTAGGCTTGCTATGGCCTGAGTGCCCACACCACACTGCACTTCTCTCCCCACCCAGCGAGATATACCTTGCCAATCAACCATCCAAGTTGTCTTGGGCTGGAAAGTTGTTTCACTCTGTCTTTTTGTGTGTTCTGCTGCTTTAGAATTTGTTTAGAGCTAATTTTTTACAGGTATTTGGAGGGGTTTAGGATCATGGCTCCGCCCCTGGGAAACTTATTTTTCAAACAAGAGGGTTTTCTTCTCTTTTTGCTTTTCTGAGACTTATTTGGGGAGGTCGTCCTTGAATGCCGATTTTGGGCTTATTTTTTTCTCAATGGATATTCATCCTGTGTCATCATGGTTTTTGCTGGTTTTGGAAGTCATCTGGACATCTTGGTCCAGCTCCTACTTGTCAGCCTCTGGGAATATAGTGCTTTGAAATCCAATTGGAATTACTTCTGATGAAAAACATCCATTTTGGATTATCACTGGACTCTCTTCAGACATTTGTATTTTTCAATGGCTTTTGAATCAAGATTCAGAATGACCTCTTTGGATGGCTTTCCTTTCCCCAATGCTGCTACAACTCATGGTTGGTCCCATTAAGAATGGTAAGTATAATTGCTGCTTGGAGTTTTTCTTCTTGCCTCCATGTCTCATTGCCAATTATTTTCTAGTTCGTATTTTTCCATTTAGTTGTTGAATTTTGTCTATAGATGTCAATCGTATTTTCTCAAATATTTGTTGAGAATTCTATTTAGGAAGTCCCAACCTTTTCAGAGTAGACTACCATTTTATAGCTAGCTAGCATTGTGGAAACTTTGGATTCTCTAAGGGAATTAAAATTCAGATGTGATTCTGTACTGTGTGTGGGTCTTCACTTCTTAGGAGCTCAGTGAAATTTTATCTTGGAATGGAGGTAGGAGCAAACCAATATCTTGCATGTTGTATTTTCTTACAAAGTGTCCTGAAAAGTACAGGAAGTTGGATTACTTTTTGCTTGCTTTTAAGGTCAGGCTTTCTTATGCTCCCTTTGGTAAAATTTGGTTTATTTCCTTTTCTTAGATTAGAGCAAAGCTTGAGTAGTGTTTCACAGTGTGTTAGAGGGTCATTCTTCATTTTTCTCTCCCACTAAGTTGGATCTTTGACAAAAGAGAATCATGGCGTGAAATGGATCCTCAATTACTTGGAGTTGAGCCTGGCCATATTTCCTCAAAGTGGGGTTGTGTTTCTAAGACATTTCCTTTCCATTCTGATTGATTTGGGTGGGGGTGGGGAGAAACAATAGTGCTGTAAATAGGGAGGGGAAAACCCTGAGCATCAATGACCTTGTTCCTTTTGGAGAAGTTTTCTTCTCAGCCAACTGAAATGCATTGTGCTGAAACAGCATTTTTGAGGAATCTTGGAGAATTTCTATAACTTCCTCATCTCACAGTTCATTTCAAAAAGTGTTTTATGGATCCCCTTGGGGTTTTCTCCCTGGAAACTTTGGCTGTTCTGCAATGGTGGTTATCACTCTGCATCAGGAATTAACAGAAGGTTCTTCATTGGTTTTTCATCTGGAAATCTATTCTAGGATTTTGTTTTTTTGCCCTGAAGATTTTCTTGGTGGGTAATCCTTCTTTCATTTCAGGTATTTTTTCATTGGAGCTGAAGTTTTCTCACAGGTTTTTCAAAGTAGAGGGTTTGCTTTCTTTTCAGCTTTTCTGAGACTCATTTGAGGGGTTGTCATTTCTCCCCAAATTTGGCCTTATTTTCTTCTGATGGATAATCATCTTGTGTCATCATGGTTTTTGCTGGTTTTGGAAGTCTTCTTGATATTGTGGTCCACCTCCTCCTTGTCTGCCTGTGGGAATATAGTGCTTTGACATCTAACTGGAATTACTTCTGATGAAGAAACATCCCTTTTGGATCATCACTTGATTCCCTTCAGACATTTGTATTTTCAATGGGTTTTGTATCAGAATTCCAAATGACCTCTTTGGATGGCTTGCCCAACTTTCCCCAACTCTGCTACAACTTGAGGTTGGTCCCATTAAGGATGGTAACTATAATTGCTGCTTGGAGTTTTTCTAAAAGCTTCCATGTGAGAGTTCTATTTAGGAAAGCCCAAACTTTTTGTTTTGTAGCTAGCTAGCCTTGTGGAAACTTTGGATTCTTCAAGGAAATTGGAATTTGGATGTGATTCTCTACTGTGTGTGTGTGTGTTGGGGGGGCTTTACTTCTTAGGAGTTCAGTGAAGTTTTATCTGGGAAGAGAGGTAGCAGAAACCTAATATTTTGGATGTTGTATTTTCCTACAAGTGTCCTGAAAAGTACAGCATGTTGGATTAACTTTTGTTTGCTTTTAAGGTCAGGCTCTCTTATGCTGCATTTGGTAAAAGTTCAGTTCATTTCCTTTTCTTAGATTGGAGGAAAGCTTGAGTAGTGTTTCAGAGTATGTGAGAGGTTCATTCTTCATTTTTCTCTCCCACTAAGTTAGATCTTTGACAAAAGAGAATCATGGCATGAAGTTGATCCTCAATACTGTGGAATTGAACCTGGCCATATTTCCTCAAGATGGGACTGTCTGTCAAAAACATTTCCTCTAAATTGTGATTGATTTGGGGGAGGACGAGAATTCTGCAAATAGGGATGGGGGTAACCCTGAGTATCAATGACCTTTTTCCTTTCTGAGAAGTTTTCTTCTCTGCCAAATGAAATGTATTTTACTGGAACCTGTTTTGTGCTTGTGGTTATCACTTTGCATCAGGGATTAACAGAATGTTCTTCATTGATTTTTCATCTAGAGATCTACTCTAGGTTTTTGTTTTTTGTGCCCTGAAGATTTTCTTGGTGGATAATCCTTCTTTCATTTTCAGGTATTATTTCACTGGAGCTGAAGTTTTATCACAGATATTGAGTGGAATTTATTTTTCAAAAAAGAGGGTTTCCTTCCATTTCAAATTTTCTGGGACTTTTTTTGGGGGGAGTCGTCCTTGCATGCTGATTTTGGGCTTATTTTTTTCTGAATGGATATTCATCCTGAGTCATCATGGTTTTTGCTGGTTTTGGAAGTCATCTAGACATCTTGGTCCAGCTCCTACTTGTCTGCCTCTAGGCATATAGGGCTTTGAAATCCAATTGGAATTACATCTAATGAAGAAGCATCAATTTTTGATTATCACAGGATTCTCTTCAGACATTTGTATGTAACTTTTGGATCACT